TTAGGTATTTGTATAAATGTATACTACAACCTTTCTGCAATCAAGTGTATATATACATATATATATATATTTTTTAAATCAGCACACAATATTTTTTTAATGTTTATTAAGACATATTTACTGTTGTCAACATAGATGAAATTTTTACATTATGATTATCGAAATAGTTCGCTCAATTTTAAACATTTGATGTACTTTTACAACCATGCTTATAAATTTTTAATAATTCTAAATTTTTCAAAAAATATGAATAATTATTTATTGACTTTGGATTTGTTTTTAAATGCATCTAGAAACTTGATATATAAATAATATTGAAAGGGTCATAAATTCTTATTAAAAGAAATAAAAAGAACATTTATAAAAAGAGCATTCAAATGGTTTTCTTTTTAAACATTTTAAACATGAAAAATGAAATAAGAAAAATTTGAAAGTAAAAATTGGAAAATTGCAGCATATTATTGTTATGACAATCTGTGACCATAATAAAATTAAGTACGTTATAATAAGAGAATATTGCTCCTTGGCTCTATTTACCAACTGACATATTTTGAGCCAATAGAATGCAAGTAGACATTAAATAGTCCAATCACAGTCCTGGAAATAGGACATTCAAGAATAATAACAGGCATCAAATCTGCCCATGCCGGCATGTGCTATGATCATCATGTAAGGGAATCAACCAGACTATGGTTGGTGCTGACTATAACCATTTCCTTGTCTGTAATCCTCTCGCTTGATTCAGCTGGTCTTTCCTCGTTATCAACACTCGTGTTATCATCATTCTCATTCATGTAATCGTAGGGACTCAACGATGTTTCTTGCAGGGATTCTAACGTTGTCGGGTTTTCTTCAGAATGGCTTCCTCTTTTCCTCCTCCACCAGCCGATGATAAGAAACGATAGACGAAAGAAATAATGCATGACGATGCGATAGAAGGTACTTAGGAACACCACCAGACCACCAACGTAAGCAAAGACTGGAAAACAGAGAGAACATGCGAAGAAGATGTCTTGCTTTCTTAAAACTTAACTATGCTTAGTTGTTGATAATCAATCGATCTATAATGATCGTTATCTTCACTGTATACAACGATTGCGCATGCGTTCATAAGTCTTGATCAAGAGACGCGCATTTTTTTAACGCCAAATCTTTACTACAGTAAACCCTGTGGATTCCGCACTTAAAGAGCGTCAAACTTCAGGGAATTACTTGGAAAAGATATGTCAAATATGTTTTTAGAGGACAATGTAATATACTACAACTACCAGAATACCTTGCGCACTTCTGCTTTCAGTTAACTTGCGCAAATTCATATTTTGATAAGGCAAATTGAAATTCAAAAGCAAACGTGCGAAGCATTGGTTTTAGGGAAACGACGTGATCCTGCAAAAGTTCTATTTGGTGGGAAACCAGACGCATTGCGCATGTGCAGGTGATTCAACTTTATGAAATCAGTTTATCACGACTGAGTGGTTCTCTTGATTGCTCGATGAAATTGCTCGAGAACTTATCACTCGTAAATCGTTGATTTATAAATAAATAGAATATATAAATATTTGTTATTATTGAGGTCCAATCTGTTTGGGCATTGTCGTTTATGGTCATAAATAATATATGCATGGCTTAGATTAACTAACCTGTCAGGAAAGTATAGATGCTGATGTTGTAGTTGAATAAACAAAATGAGCCCTGCAATTACCATTAAAAAAATGAAGTCAAATCTAGAAAAATTTTCATTGGAGTCGGCAAATAGCAAAGGCCTATTTTGGCGAGATCAATGTACACTTAAACAATCAAGGTGCGCCAAATTACTTCTGAACCAATCAGAACTGTCGGAAATGACGTCATGGTCAAGGTTCTAAATGTCCCATGAAATCTACTCAAAGCCAATCATTCATATTCTACTCTACTTATTATCATGGTTAGACTCACTAGCAATCCACTTTCAAGTTTTCAGAGTTACAGTAAATATGCAGGCAAAAAGTTCATTTTCTTACTTCAGTTTTCTTGACGACATTCATCAGATCAGACAGACAGTGATACATCTGATGTCTATCTTTCACGCATTTCTTGAGACCATCTGGTGTACACGTATCACATGGGTAACACTGGACCTGATGTACAACACAATACTGATTAGTATATAGTATGGATTACATACAAGATGTCCACATCTAGTAACTTCTCATGGGTAAAACTGGAACTGATGTACATTACATTGTATTAGGAATAGCTCAGCGCACTGATTCTAAAAATAGCTTAAAGATTCAGACAAACATTGCATTCTGTTAGGAGGATTATACGAACCGATTTTATTATTTTTACTTAAAGTTACAATGATAACCCATGTAAACTAAGATCAACTGCGATCGACAGTGAAAATTATCTGCTGAAAGTAAACTTGTAATTTTTGTCTGAATTTTGCCTTTGTCTTCGTTTTTATATAGTCACGGTTGCGCTGCGCTATTGGTTGAGCGCTGGCCTGTTGTGCAAGAGGTCATGTCAAGCACTGACTGAAACAACACTTCAATTATCTGAGATGTGGCTTCCACTCTAAAAAATATCCCACATAGAGACATTAAACACAGAGGGGCTACATAAGTTTCCCAAGCTGTGACTGCTAAGTGTCACTTCATCTACTTGACTGTTAGAGGGAACATCTATACCATCTCCCAGAGGACTGCATAACAATTATTTTACAGTTTCTTACCATTGTTGTTCGTTCACAAAGGCTCATTACATCTTCATGATTCTTGAAGCACGCCCATGATTGGTAGAGCTTTGAAAACCACATGATGAGACAAGTAAAAATGATCAGGAAACATGGTATGAAGTTGGCGATGACGTGGATTTTACCAAGAGGCTTGATGGGTAGAGTGGGCTGAAAAAAACAAATCAATAAACCACATGCTTACTAATACTATTACGTGTATGAGAATATATATCAAATATATATTTGTACTGTGGTTGTAATGTATTGAGCTGTTCCTCACAGCATGTGAAGCAACTTATGCAGCTGCAAATTGAAAGAATTAAAGAAAATTCTGAGTCTTGAACAGGATTTGAACCCATGCCCTGGGGATTCCTGGAGCAACGTTTGAACCAATCAGAGCACACTAGCTTGGCAAGGTAAAGATATAAGAAACAGTCAAACAGTTATTATAAATTCTTAAGTACATGCTACAGAAGTACAAACATTCACCTTGAATTTGAAAGGCATTTTCTTCCTCTCATAAAAGATTACCATGAAAATGCAGGTGGCAGACAGTGCAATGGTTACAACTTGAAAGTCAAGTCCCAGATTCCTTGTGGGAAAATACCTGCACCATTGAAAATTGATTTTTCATGAAACAAAAAAAGGCTTACTTAGGGTTTGGGGATGGGGGGAGGGAGTAGGGGGAGGGAGTAGGGGGAGGAAGGGAGGGAGAAAGGGGAAAAAGGGAGGGAGTAGGAGAAAAAGGGAGGGAGTAGGGGAGGAAGGGAGGGAGAGAGTAGGGGGAGTAAGGGAGGGAGGCAGGGAATGAAGCAGGCAGGGAGAGAAAGAAAGAAAAGATGGGATATGGATGGGATACACTGCACTGTAGATTTATGTAGCTGAAGGGAGAGAAGGGGGGATGATGAAAGGTATTGACACAGACTGATAATTATAATGCATACCTCCAATCAAAGTAGATATATGCCCAATAGTTGACAAAGAAGAAGCACAAAACTGATAAAGTGATACACACAGTCACCAGCCATGATAAACCTTTAAACTTTAACCAGACACACACCCCAAAATAGGCCTATGGAGATAAGAGAGCAACAGACAAAATGGAAGGATGGTTTCTGTCCAAGAAAGAGACATGTACAACACACAGTACAACATTCCATGATGCCTATAAATGGCTTAACATTGTCCTCAAAGCAGGGCCTATTTGCCCCAACCACCTCCCCCTCCCCAAGAGCCGCTACGCAGGCTAGAGTAAGGCTGCATTTACACAGTATCAGATGAATTTTGAACCGGTCAAAAAGTTGTACATTTAGAGGCTCCATTCACACAGGCTGAGCTACATGAATCTGAACAAAAATTCATATGCCTAGCGACCCGTTCTGTGTAAACATAATGTATTTGTTATATAATTTGAGAGATGATTCTGTGTAAACGGTACTTACAGTTCAAATTTTTGACCATTTAAAAAATTGAATATATGTCCATGGTATATCCTACAAGACTACAATAGACCTATTAGGTTGCCACTCTAGCCTTAAATATATCAGACCACATTTCAAAATATGATTCTTATACATATCATATATATTATAATTACATCAAATATGATTCTTATAATATATCATATATATCATATATGAAATATAATTCTTATATATCATAGTAACTTTTTGTGTGTGCTAGTATAAGATGACAAAATATTGATATTCAACCATTTGTTTTTGAGTTTTATTAAAACCATCTTCAGGGATAAGCCATACTGTAGATTATATACAAGGGATTAACTTCATACTCAATTTATATGTAACTGCCTCAGGAAATAGTGATAATGTCAATCATTTAATATCAGACAATATCAGAAAACATAAAAAACATACTCAAGGGAATGATAAATAATTAAGGAGTACATACCAAAACCATGAAGAAGATTGGCAGATCCATTAACCTCAAAGATTGCTGTAAGGGAGAATAAAAACATAAATCACAATAAATGGCACATGTACTTAGAGGATACTATCAAGTATTTTACTTACTAATTTGTCTAATGTCCTGGGGTCATTCTAGAAAAAAWATATATATAAGTGTTAATAATTATAAATAAAGGAAAAAAAGGAAAAATTGAAGGCTTTCCCTCTAAAAAATTAATGGCAATAGAAGTTGATTTTTTTCAGAGGAAAGAAAACCAGACAACCTGGAGGAAAATCCTCAAAGCACAGAAGAAACAACAAGCATTTCTACATACCACACAGGAAATGAACCTGGATTGCAGTGTAGAGGGGTGTGCACAAGTACACCTCTATGCCCCGCCTATAGTTCATATTCCTTCATTAAATTGAATGCACAAAGCTCTAGGTTCTACCTTTTTCTCACTTATCTTCCCTCTCCATCCCTAGATAATTGATGGATGGTCCCTATTTTATTGATTTAAAATCCCCACTAACTTTGAAAACCTTACGGTTCCTTTAGCCTCTAGTCATTTCCTTGAATGTAAAGCATTTATTTTCATGAGATATAATATAAAATAAAACTAAATTAGAAAAAAAAAGCACTAATATATATATCATATATATATATATATGTATGAAAATATTTATAATATGGAAATGAAAAATAAAGACTATTATTATTATTATTATTATTATTATTATTATTATTATTATTATTGACTGAGAGAACTATCATATTCAGTAACAACACTAAAGTGAGGCTAAGGAGGCTTGAACTATGGGAAAACTATTACTCATTCAAAGTACTAGAATGTACAAAATAATTATTAATATTATCGATAGAATAAATAAATAGTTTTCAATTTCAAGGAGTTTAATAGAAAATGATGCCAAAGACTAGTCATGGTATTTCGCGCGGTATTCCACGAAGAGCATGTTTATGTTGAGCTTAAATCAACTACTAGACTGCCTGTTATAACAACTTATTTGAAGTGTATCGAAGGAGGATTAAAAGAAATAATACAACTAAAGAAATAAAAGGATAACGAAAACTTACTTCAAAGAGTCCCTCGGGAAGACTATTTCTTGTAGCAGCGTCGCCATACGCATCAAAGAATGGAGGATTGCGAATAAACTCCACGAGACCTGCCCATAAATACCCGATTACTATAAGAAAATGGATGATCTGAATTACATCTGACAGCCATTCCTTTTTAGATCTGCTACGACGGAAATATGCCTGCATTTTGCAATAAATAGTGATCAAATGATCAGCCAACATCCGGGCGGTGAATATCAAATACTAGTAGCAATGGAATAACAATGAGAAATATGGTAAATGTCAATGTTGACATACTCTTACGAATACTCAACGAATTTCTCCGTCATCTTCACGAAAATTTCCGAAGTTGTATCCGGTGTATCTTCGGAGCTATAATACTACAAGCGTTATGAAAGCATGTGTTTGTAGTGATAAATATAATGGCTCATTCAAGGAAAGTCCAGTTGACTCTAGCTCTTCTTAAACCTGACATCATGCTTCACCCAGTGAGAGTTAAGGTAAATATGTTTTTCTAACGTGAACCACAGGCATCCCAAGCTCCAGCTCTGTTCAGTAGAGCTAGTTTTGATTTCATGCTGTATTCATTTGATAATAATCATTAATATATATATATCTATTTATTAACACAGACAGTCAAGGATATAATTATAGATACTGGCTTCAATGTTGTTCAATCAAGAGTTTTATGCTGGACAAGGAAAGAAGCTGAAAAGTTCTATGCTGAGCATGAGGGTAAATGCTGGGATATGACAGCCATGTATATTGGTTTAGTCAAATCCAACTAGCAGTCTATCATTAATGCTGTGTTCTAATTGGATGAGCTACTACTAAGCTATAAGTTATAGCCTACTGGTAGCAAAAAGTGCTTTGAAAACCAAAACATATAAATTTAACTTTAATTAAAAACTCATTTGAATCTATATATATATGACCGACTTGTTGGATTTGACTAAAACAATATTAGTCCTCGCCCTCATGGCCTATGAGTCATAGCCTAATAGACCTTTGGCCTCATGGGCTCTGTGACTCATAGTCCATTCAGGCTCAAGGACTGATTGCTAAATAGATATTATAATTATTTATGAGTTATATAATGCTCAGTAGAATGGCATATAATTTATATTCAGAGTAAACTATTGCCCCCATGTCAGACTGTATGACAAAACAAAAATGTTGGTGTTAAAAAAAAAAAAAAAAAAAAAAAAAAAAAAAAAAAAAAAAAAATTAAAGCAAGAGAATTCAACTATAACAGCAATATGACTGCATCAGATTTACTTTGGGAAATTCTTATCCATAAAAAATATAGATATATTTTGGTAACCCACCATTATTTTTGGTTCATTTTTTTCTTATTTATGTTTCTTCATTAGGAAGATTTTTCTACAATAGACTTGTGGGCTTCATGAGCAGGTATAATTGTATTAATGTTTATTGTACAAGTAACATTGTTAAAGGGTGATGGTGATGGTGATGTAGATGCATGAAAGCAATAGGGCCATGAGGGAAGTAGTTGATAATGATGATACATGCATAGTGATGATGATGGTGATCATAATCACGATGGAGATTAATGTTGATGATAGCAGTGATGATAATAATATAATTGGCATTGATAAGATGATGATGATGATGATTGGATAATGATGATGGACATTGGCATTGATAATTTGCTGACAATGTTGCTGGTATTGTTGTTAGTGATATTCGTGAGATTATGATAATGTTGATGCCAATGATGATAACTCTTTCAAAGAGTATTTTCTTTTTTCCTGATGGTCAAGTGGTCCGATGACAGCCATGATCCTATCACGACAAGATGCAATATCAAGATGGAGAGAACTAATGGGACCAACACATTCCTACAGGTATGAATGATGATGTTGATAATTATGATACATTAGCCATTTCAAGGTCAAGGAAAAAACTGGGTTTAATTAGCATTACAGTGCATTGTGGGACTGTTGGGGGATGAAATAGATGTTGTCTTGGGAGTGTGCCCTCAAACATTCCCACAATGCACTGCAATGCCAATTTGTCTCATATTTTCTTCAATGTTTGAAAAGCTAAAAGTGATCAGATGGTTGTAATGGGCTTTGAAAGAATGGCAAATATGATGATGTAGTGACAATGAAACGATGTTGGTTCTCTTGGACAACAGTGGTATGAAATAATGTATGTTGTATATTGGGTGCTTGTAGCAGTGACAGTACATGCTCACCTCTCAATTCCTTGTCCAAGTGTTGAACATGAGTAGAGTTGCTTGTTGGTTCTTTGCTGTGCCTCAAGGATTTTCCTCTGGTTTCCCTTTTCTCTGTAAAAACCAACTTCTAAATTCTTGATAAAAATTGTGTAATTCTAGTAACCCTACCAAACCCTGTATTTTTTGTATTACATGAATTTTCCTACCATGTTGCAGGGCCAGAGACATAGCACCCATTAGCATCAGAGCACTGTATGGAATATCAGATACAAGAAATGTTACTCATGGCTCAGGTCAGTATTGACCCCCAAAGGGGGCCAGAACCTCTTGTAACTGCATGACCACCATTTGCAACATCATCACACAGAAAAATGGTTTTCTAACAAAAAACTAGAACCATTCTCTCAGATCCAGTGAATGACTGCATTAACTTGACCAGTAATCTATTTTCTTTTTTCGTTTAGACTCTGATGAATCTGCAATGAATGAAATCAAGTTTTTCTTTCCAGACTTTGATTTTAAATCATACTTGCAACAATGGAATAAATAATTCATTTCTTTATAGCAGGAAATCCAAAACAAGACAGTATCAAGCTATTATCTGAACTATCTCTACTTTACCAACTTGCTTTAAAAATTATGAAGAAAGAATTTAAAAAACTCCTCAATACTTAGATGTTAATTAAGTAGAGCAGTTAAATAGATCAAAGGGATGAGATTGTATATCATAACTTGGCGTTAGATAAGCAGCTTGCAGAAGTAGTTACCGACAGGGTCACAGTTCAGAAATATAGGCATTCATGCAATAGTAACATAGAATAGATGCTGCTGTCAAAGTTTTTGTTGTAGTATCTTTTTCATTCAGAAAAGAAAGCTTGTTGCATGTCCAAAGTGGTAATATGAGCAACATTTGCTTTTCAACTTGCGACAATTCGCATGCTTTTACTGACTGCATTACCTATTTATATATATTTTTATCACCAATTTATCTTGGAATGACACAAATCTATGCCAACACATGTTGACATTAATAAAGTGGCAATAGAGTGCAAACATATCCGTGAAATATTAGTATTACTAAATTACACTATTTTATGCTAATTCTATTGTTTTCTTTTGTTTAACTAGGACTATTTTGAACAATTTAGTAATTAGTGTTTCACGTACTGTTTAAAAAACGAGCAGGAGTGTTTTATTGGGTATAAAACACGAGGCGCAGCCGAGTGGTTTTATAGACCCGATAAGACACGATCTGCAAGTTTATTAAACGGCTTAGAAAACTTATGATGTATGTTCTCATATTGTACCGAATTCTTTACGAAATGAACCAAGTTTGATAGAGAAAATCCAAGTTAAAGTTTATGCAAATGAAGACGAATCTATATCAGATATAAAATCACCTCCATGGTCATGATTTCTATTGTTTTCTTCATGAATTATTATTGAGTTTTCTAAAGATATATTGTTTGCACTCTATCATATTTTATATATGATATTTTATCAAAAACCAATCATTCATTGTTCAAATAGAAGATTAACATGTTAAATAACATTTAATATCATTATACAACACAATATTTCTAACTTGCATGCAGGTTTCAATTCATTTTAATATTTATTGTACGAAAATAGCCCTTTTAAGGGTAAGGTGTGTAAAAACAGCAATTATTGCTGTCATTGGCACTTGCAATCATTTACCATGGTCATATATTTAATTCTCTATTACTGGTTAGTAACCATTTATGTCCTTGGTATTACAAAAGAAATAGCTCATAAAAAAGAGAAACTTGGTTAGGAATTCTTAATGTGATTTTTATTGCTATTACTGTGATTCTCCAAAAATAATCATAAAAGCATAGCTGCCAGGGCCAAGGAAAAAGCTGCAGCTAGGTTTTAGGATTCCCTAGCAAATGGTTATGCAATAGATGTTGCAAAAATGTTGGCAAAGTCACATCAACTGCACATCTTTGTTCATTAGCCTCCAAATGGCATCTCCAACACCAATGCAATACAATTACATATATCTTCATACATCTCCATCCAAGATAGGTGAAATGATAAGTATTTGAATGAGTCACAACATGGCAGCCAGTAGCCAGTAGCACACCAAAATTAGCCCTTTTCTGGATATTGGTGATACCTCGCCCTCCCCCTCCCCCATTGAACAAAGACAACTAAAAATGTAAATGCATAAAAAATTAATGTTAAACGATTTGAAATTGGTACACAAACACTTATTTTCTTAAGATGCATATTTTAAGMCCACTAACTACATTAATGACCTAAATAGGCTAGTGTTGCAGCTATGCAACATGTGCAAYGAAGGACAGTCAGCTGAATCTGCATAACGACAAGATTTAAAACCTTTTGCTGCAAGCACAAACCAGGATATAGCAGATGTGACAAGAACAGACTGTAAGTGGAAAATACATAACACTTGAAAAAGTGATCTAAAATAAACTAGATTTTCCTGTCTGCCAACTCTTCTTCTTTCAAACGTGTCCTATTTCTTGTGGTATTCATAAGGTAGATTTGAGGAAAAAACTGTAAGGGGAAGTTGTCCCAAGTTTTTTTGGATTTCATTCTGTTCATTAACATTTCATTCTCGTTGCCCTTCTCTTGTAGTGCTAAGGAACAAATATTTTCAATTAAGTTACAATCAACATGTATTCTCATTGATAGAATACTGAATTTTGTGATTGCAGTATGCTTTCTAGATAGAGCGACGTCGTAGAAACGTCTCATTTCTATTTTTAGAAACATGACGTCACAGAAACCCCCAATTTTTATTTGTAATAAGTATGACGTCATAATTAATTGGCCTGATCTGATTGGTTGTAATTCACTATAAGTCAAAAGCTCCAGGAATGTCCTCTTTAGCTTTGCGGCTCATCCGTTCTAAGCTTTTCCTTTTTTCTATACTTTTTTTCCTGCGATCGTCTCGTGATTTGTGTTCTGCACTCTTTTTTCTCTTGGAAGATTCATCAGTGTGTTTAGTACGATCTTCACCCTTCTCAGATCTTGGGCTTAGATTAGCACTGGTTTTACGAGTAGACGAATCAGCTGGACTGCTAGTACCACTGTGTGAATCTATACTACTGTCTTTGAATTCTCTGAGCTTCTTTTTTAGTTTACTATCCAACTCGTCACGCTCATCAAGATCTTCTATTGATCGGTATGATCGCGGTTCTGAAGGCACACGGGAGCTTGTTTCAAGGTTAAGATCAGAGTCATCGCTCAAGTCCCCATCTGATAGTCTATCTGAGTCAGAATGCATGTCATCTTCTAAAGCGTGCTGGAGTTCAGCTACGCGTTTCTTGGATAGAGCCAGCTCTTGTTTGGTCGATGCTAATTGAATTTCTAGCGATTCTACTTCACGTTCCTGTAGAAGATGATATAAAAAATTAGAAAAACACAAGGGAATGTATTTTAAAATGCGCCATTACGTAAGGTCACCGTGCGGCAATGATGCATGGTTTCTACGTTTACAAGGGACTGGATTGAATGTTACCGCTTCAGATTTCTTCTTTTTCAGTTCACCGTCACGTTTCTCTATCGCACTTGTCTCATCCTTCATTTCACGCATATGTCGTTCCAATCTGCAAAAGTGATCAAACAGAAAGTTAGTAATGCTTGTACACGTATATAGTAATAGAGCAGTTGTCGTATGACCGTGAATAAGTAAGAGCCGTATGCGTGCCTTGCCGCGATCCTGATAATTTTTTGAATTTTGATTGGGGGATTCTTTCCCTCGCGCAGTGTGCCGTGACCTTGACTTGACCTTGTCCGCGCCGTGTTCATGCCGTGCTTTGGGTATTGATCATGCAATGTGATTGGTCTGGCGTATGCCTTGTCGTTTGACGACCGTGCTCGTGCCGTGAGCCATCAACAATCATCTAAAACTGCTCTAAATACAAAAATAAGATGTGATGTAGATGTGTTTCAAAGGGACCGGGAATCAGATTTTGAAAGACCACATCACGCAAGTTCCTACGGAATGTCACGATACCGTTACGAATGTAGTTGCGTGACATTGCATGTCAAGTTACACGGCACGGTAAAAATAATCAATTCATGGCGTTATTACGGTACACAATTTCTCGCACGACTTATCCACACGAGCGAGCCCAGTCAGACGTTCCTACCACACTGAGTACGAATAACGAAGACAAGAAAAACACTTACTTCATGTTTTCTTGCTGTAATTTAGTTTCTCGAAGCAGGCATTCATCCCTCTCTTCTTGAAGTCTTAATACTTGTTCTTTTAATCTGTTGACTTGAGTCTGAAATACAAATGATCCGTTCTTGTCATGACCCAGATGTTTGGGATCCCTGTGGTGCGTTCTTTTTTAATGTAAATACTTACAAACGTTTGTAGAAATTTATCAATATAAAAACACAGAGGAGTCGTGATATTTTGTTGATATTTGAAATAGTAAATCGAATAAGCCTTTATTTGACATGGTTTGACTAGCTTTTTTCTTTTTAATGTTTGGCCCTGATTTGTGGTCTACCTGTGGTTCTAGCAGAGGAGCCTTACTTACATCTTGTCTCTTTTTGAACGTTCCCTCAAAGTCAAGCTTGCTCTCCAACTCTTTCATCTAAATATAAAAGGTAAAGTGTATTAATATAGCGATTGAGTATAAATAAGCAGGGCTTCCTGCGGTGTTGCCTACCTTGCTATCCATGGTGGACAACGTTTGCTTGTCTACAGTCGATCCTTCCAGATAATCTAGTCTTGAGCTCATGGTAGATATCTAGGATCAAGACAGACAGACAGATTGATAATCAAGATACCATACTTATAACCATCTCAGGAGCAGCAGCACAACCATTACATTCATAATCACCGTCCTACCTTGAGTTCAAGTGCTTCTTTCTCGGTAATTGTATCGTGAAGAAGATTTTCTGTATCTCGCAGCTGCGTTTGTGTTTCAGAAACCTGTAAAACAGCATCCTTAGAATCAGCCGCTGGCAAAGACAAAAACAAAAAAACCCACACCCCTATTTCCACATAAAGCTCAAAGTAAAGTAAAGTAAACATTTTTACCTGTTTGATTAATTGTCTGTTTTTCTCGGTCAACGTCTCCATATCCTCTTCATCCTCTTCTACGCGACTCTGTAGCGAGGTCAGTTCCTTTAATTGGACAAAGTACCTGTTCTCGATCTGGAAAAAAACCCGAACGTTCATCACTGTCAAAATAGCTTGCATACTTCCCTTCGCAGACGTTAGGATAACGTTTATCATGATAATAATCGTGTATATTTTGTGCAAACAATTTCAAACATTCTGCAGTACTTCTCAGGCCCGCGCGGGGTAGTACAATTTGTCGTCGCGATGAAATATGTTTTGGTAGACGTCAATCAAAACGTCTCACGACATTGTCGAAAAAGGCAAAGTTTTTAAGGGCACTTGTCTATGGGATGTCATGGAAACGCCTGATTGAAGTCCGCTGATTAAATAATCCTAGCGCAATCAGAGCGATAGTCTTTTCGCGAAAATATGAAAACTTCTTGCCAATAAGAGTTTGGTAACCGATATACACAACACAGGAAACCCATACCTCAAGTTTTGATTTCGAAACAGAATCCAGCTGCGACTGAACATCTTTTAGTTCCTCTTCTACCTTCTTCTTGGCTTTTCTCGCAGCATGTGCTGCATACTCCGCGTCTTCGAGCTTGTCTTTCAAGGCTTTCATTTGGTTTCTGTCTTTAAGTTTCTTTTCTTGCTCCTCAATCACAGTTTGAGCGTCTCTTAGCAACGCTTTCGTTCGCTTTAGCTCGCGTTTTAATCGCTTTTCGTTTTCAACGTTACCGCGTTCCAAGTTGTCACGCAACTCTTGCAGTCGTCGTTCTAGCTCACGCTTTGCCTTGGATCAACGATAAACAAATAATAAATATTATAACCAAAAAAGTTCGAGGGAAGTATGAAGGTTTTTCATTTCTCAAATGAATGAATATGACGTGCAGGGTGATAATAGTCCAAGACATCCCGTACCTTGACAGACGCTGTCTTTTCTTGATATTCGTCCTCTAGTTGGCCTTCCATCTGTTTGATCTACAATACAGTATTATACTGGTAAGTGAATTTTAGTCAAGGGGAGGGGAGGGACGGGAGAGATGATGTAATGATTGATCTACAATACAGTATTATAGGACTGGTAGCGTATTTTAGTTAGGGGGAGGGGAGGGGACGGGAGAGATGATGTAATGCAACTGGGTCGCGATCGCGTAGTTATGTGGAAGTTGAGACGAAAGTAAATATCGGTTAATGTGGAATGTTCACCTTCTTTTGCATGGAAAAACGAATTTCTTCCAGCTCTTCTTCCTTTGCTTCCAGTTCCTTGTGCACGAGCTGTTTGTCTCGCTCTGCAGCCATTTCCAGGCGTAGTTTAGTTTGTTCCAGGACTTGGATCTCTCCGGCTTGTTCGTCTAGCTCTTCTTCTTGGTCTTGAATCTTTTGTTCCAGTTCACGGATAGTCTTCTTTAAGGTGATAGTCTACAGGGCAAGGATAAGATAAGATACACTGACCGGCAATATACACACTTTCCTATACCATTATAAATAGATAAGACAATACATGAGACATGACACGTGGTGTAAATGACGTCACTTACATCTGCATCTCCTTTAGTACCCAGGTTGCCAGCCACGTCGTTCAAATCGTTGGTCAGCCTATGATTCTCCTTTGTCAGTCTTTCAACGTCATCTTTAGCGCTCTGTTTAGAAACGGAAAGAAAAAAATCACACTTTACACTATGGCTTCATGATTTGAGTAAGTATTCGTATCGTGATAATGACGGTGCCCGTGTTCGGCAGGATGCCGGGGTGAATCCAGTGGGGGGGGGGGGTGTGCAGGTGGTGCGCACCCCCCTGATTCGACTTTGTGTCCCTACTTCGAAGTAACCAATACTGGTTTTTCCTTTTAATTCTAAGTGGTGCACCCCCCCCCCCCTGAGTTAGCTTTGTACGCAGCACCCCCATGAACAAAATCCTGGTTCCGCTCCTGGGATGGATTCACCAAGATACCTGCACCTCATGATCTAGATCCTGTTATCATTATCGTGTTTTCTCCCCTGCTACGTACCTCCAGTTCTTGTTCCAGTCTGTATTTCTCTGATTGATATTTTTCTTTTTCCCGGTTGATCTTATCTCTTAAGCTTCTTTCATGAGAGACTTCTTCTTTTAAGCGATTCGCCTCCAGGTCGAACCTAGAAACCAACAACAGTTTCTTTATCACAATCATCACTATCAAAACGTTCACCATCTGTCCACCATCATTATCACCACTATGATCATCATCATCATCACTACCACCGTCATCATCACCATCATCATCACCAACACCGTCATCATCATTATGACCACTATGATCATCATCATCATCACTACCACCGTCACCATCACCATCACCAACACCGT